ATATATATATATTGGGCTTGAGATGTAAAGGAGACATTTGGGTGGGGAGGGCAGCTGCCCCCCGGCCCAACGTGGCTGGCCACTGATAGCATCCTATCTAAAGCCATTGCAACGGGAAAACCACAGGGCCTTGGCAAATAAACGACAAGATATATCTATGGTAGATCTAGATGAAAGCCCTTCTAGCAAAGAGCATATAAAAACTTATGCATTTTCTTAAATATATGTTGTAAAATTGTTACCCTCATTTCCGCATTTATATATAACTTAAAGAAAGAAAGAATTTTAAGATAAGAGCACAAAACTATAATGTTATGCTTGGTAGGATGGATAGAAAAGAGAAAAGAAAGAGAAGTAAAATAATTTTCTTTAATATTGTTTGGTAGAAGAGGAAGAAAAGTGAAAAGAAAATGTTAAATTTAAGGCATTTTACAGTAATACTAACTTTTTCTCTCCTATTTTCTTTCGAAAGTTGAAATGATTAAAAATTAGTAACCCTATAAATTTTTATTTTTCTTTCTTCTTCATTTTCTCTTTAGCAAACTTCTTAAAATTTCATTTTTCTTTTCAAAATCCTTTATCTATTTTTTTTCCTCTCTCTTTTCCACCCTACCAAGCAAAGGTGATTCAAAAGAAGCGTATTTACTAGTTTTCTGTATGTTCTATCTTGTATTGCACCATCCAAGTTCGACCTTGACCTTTAGTTAAGCATTTTTCCTTGGTTTGTATTTGACAATGTGTGTCCTGTATCCTTCAAGTATTCTTTTGGGCTTGATTAGCAAGATAAAAAGTGTTCTTTTGGGCTCAAAATGCTCGTATCTCGGTCCAAACTTTGAAACTGCTCACAGGCTAAAAACTTTTTCCCTTGCTCTCCTCAGCTTGGGCCAATTTTACTGTGTAGCCGAATTCTTGCATAATTTAGAAAGAAAATGGAGGAATCTTGTATTATTTTCCTCCTTTTTTATTATTATTTACGTTGGAAGCCAATTTTCCCTTAAAACTAGGACTAGCCATATATCACAAGTCGTGATTCATGGTCACTTGCCATCGGCGGCCGCGCAACGGCGAATGAATTACCCAAATTGAAGGGGTGCGCGACTGGTCACCTATAAAGTTACTGTAGTGTATGTGAAAAGGAGACGGGAACCGATATAGTTAGAAACCAAAATTGTTGCTGAAATTTTTTTTTTTAAAAAATACTAACGTCACTTTTTCTATCACCCTCTGCAGTTTAAGACATGTTAAACAATAAATACAGAGATTAAAAAGTGACAAAAAAATAATACTAACATCTCTAGAAAAACTTTAGCAGTAGCCATCAAAGTAAAACGTTCATCGATGAAAGTGATAATACTCATAATTTGAGAACTAATAGTATGTAATTATTTAAGTAAAGACTTTTTAATAAAATTAATACATGTAATTTGGCAAACACTCACTACTTTACGTCACAATTGCTTTTCTCCTTCAGTAAAGCTAGCAACAATTTCTTCCGAAGTCCAGAGCATTATCGAGTTAGTCTTGTAGCCCGTCGTCGATATATCAATGCTCCGAGTATTAGGATGGTAATTTCATCCTTTCGAAAAAAGAAGTGCCAGTGTATGATGGTCCTTAAACTTTTAGAGCTCGTTTAGTTGGAGAATTCGAAATCTGATTCGAATTATAGTTCATAATTCGTTACAGTATTTTCTCTCACAAAAAAACACAAGTAAATCGAAAATGGTTATAATCTCATGGTTCTAATCCATAAACTAAACGGGCTCATTTATGATGATTTAGTCCTTAATTTAATTGTATGGCCAAAATTTCTCTCATTTAAATTTTAACGCCATTAGCGGTCTCTAAATTAAATCCCCCTCAATAACTACAAGGGATTGACGATGATAAGGATCATTGATGCTACTAAAATTTAACTCGAGGGAGATTTTTGTCTATAAAATTAAATCAGGGACCAAACCGTTATAAACAAAAAAGTTCGGGGGCATGTAATGATTAATACAAAAATGAATGATAATTAAAAAATTAGAAAAGAGTAAAAAATTAAAAAAAAAAAAAATTAAAAAAAAAAAAAAAAAAAAAGGGGTTCAAACCGGCCAAACGTGAAAAGTGAAAAGGAGGGGAACGAACGACGAGTGTTTTCTTACGCGCAGCTTTTCAGAAAGAGAGAGAAACACAAAAAATAATAATAATAATTTAAAAAAAAACCGTAACGTCTTCTATACCGATCAGACCAACGAGAGGCGAGAGGTTTGACACAGACTTCAGACCCCGAAGAGAGAGAGAGAGGGCGAAAGCTGGACGACTGCCCTCTCCTTCTCCGATCTATCAAAAATTCAAAACAAAAAAAAAAAAGAAACAGAATCTATTGTTTTTTTTTTTTTTTTTTTCCAGAAAGAAGAATTCTTTACAATTACATGACTTTCGTGCTTTCTCTCCTCTCCATCTCCATCTCCACCACCCTCTTGAATGCGACGGTCGAATGCCCGTAAGCGGGTCGTTCATTCAAGACCTCCTCCTATGGATCCGGTAAAGCTCCCCGTCCGACCCGCCACCCGATCCAACCTCTTCTCCCGGGCCCACCACCCCAAGCACTCCTTCTCCTCCGCCGCCGCCTCCAAATCCGGCCTCTTCTTCATCCTCCTCTCGCTCGCGATCGCCCTCGCTCTTCTTCTCTGCTACTTCTTCGTCCAGGCCCGGGCCTCGCGGGGCATCGCGAAGAGGCGGTACGGGATCGTCATCGACGGCGGCAGCACCGGTACGCGGATCCACGTGTTCCAGTACGAGGTTGTTTCGGCGGCGGAGGATCGGACCGCGGCGTTCGATTTCAGCGGCGAGGGACTGGCGTCATTTAGGGTTAATCCGGGGCTCTCGGCGTATTCGGAGGATCCGGAGTCAGCGGGCGGGTCGTTGACGGAGCTTCTCGAGTTTGGGAAGGGGAGGGTTCCAAAGGATCTATGGAGGGAGACTGATGTTAGGCTGATGGCCACGGCGGGGCTCCGGTTGCTGGATTCGGAGGTTCGGGATCGGATTCTGGATTCGTGTAGAAAGAAGATTAGGGATTCCGGGTTTAAGTTTCGGGACGAGTGGGCTTCGGTGATCACCGGTATGCTTTTCTTTTCTTTGAAACTCTTTTCTGTTGAGGAATTTAGATATGATAGAAATGGGCTTATGGATGCGTAATGCACAAGTTATTTATCAAAATGCGAGTTTGTTTGATGTTTAGAAACGGTGGAAAGTGAAGGAAAAGAGAATGTGATATTTGTTGTTGCTTGAATTGTGTTTGTTTGGAGTCTGTTGGTTTAAGTATTGGATCTCCATTAGAGTAGAACACCTGGAATCTGGGGCAAGCTTCTTGAGATTTGTCATTTCCTTGCTATCGCTGATAATCTCTTAGGTTCAGTATCTCATTGAAGACCAGGAAAAACTTTGCTTTGTTGGGTTTATCAGTTTAGTCAGTTGACTTCTAAACCACCTATCCAACATATTTGCAAAACTGCGTTATTTATGTTGTGTATAGTTTTTATGGTTCTTGTTGAAAGAAGAACCCATTTTTAAACTGGTAGTTGGAATTCGGGGGTTAATTTTATCTTGACCATCCTAATGTTCATTTTTTTGTTTCTGAGCATCTTTCAAGAGGCTTAATTTTGAAATCTTCATTTGTCTTAGGCTCTGATGAAGGGATGTATGCTTGGGTTGTCGCAAACTATGCCCTTGGTTCTCTTGGAGGCGATCCTCTTCGGACTACTGGAATTATTGAACTGGGTGGAGCTTCTGCCCAGGTTTAGTCCCACTTTCTTTCTTTGCCTAATCTCCTCGAATGGGGGAATTCTATTTTCATAGTATCATGATTCAGCATTCAAGTTATATTTCCAATTCACCACTGCATAATTGCAAGTTCATTTAGTGAAAATTCAAAGCATGCCTCTAGAGTAGGCTATAATTTAAGAATCAAGTTCTGACACACACCTTTCCCCTTTAGTCCAAACTCCGAAGAAGGAATTCTATAAATTTTTTCTTGGATCGCATGGTGTGGAAGCAGTTGATAATGGATGCTATTAATATGAATGTCTGGTGTGCTCTTATTGCAGGTCACTTTCGTTTCTAATGAGCCAATGCCTTCCGAGTATTCCCAAGTTGTTACATTTAAGAATATTACTTACAATCTCTACAGTCATAGCTTTCTTCATTTTGGTCAGGTAATTGTCAATTTTTTTCTAATTGTGTGTATTTGTCTATCAACATGCTTATCTTAACAAAATGAGTAAAATGTCTAGGTTTGATGTGAATCAAATCTTTTGCATTTACTTTGAGGAAAGACATGGTTTTTCTCTTTTTTTTTTTATGAAGTAACTTCCAAACATTATCTTTTAGTTTCTTGCCTGTTGTTTCTGGATAAAAAAACGTGACTATTTTTCTTTGAGTTTACTTGAACCAATCTATTTGATGATTTTCGTGTCTGTGTGAAATAGGGTTGGCCACTTTAATTGCAGTAACTTTCTTCCAAGATTTCTGTTGGATGAAATTTATTAAGGAGCTAAGATATGGTTTAGATGTTTTAACTAGTTTGATTTTGCCCTTTGCAGAATGTTGCTTATGACTCATTGAGGGAAGCACTTACTTCGGGAGAGTTTAATTTGGGTAAAGAAACATGCTTTTCCTTAAAATATTGTTCATTTGTGCTGAATTACAAGGCTTAGTTTGGTAGTGCTGTAGATTTTGGAAAAATTACTTTTAGTTGTGCTGAAGGAAGAAGCAGCTATTACAAAAAGCAGCTGAGTGTTTGGTAAACTATAATTATAGTAGCTATAATGGTTTCAAAATCAGTGTAATAACATTTGGTAAATTATGAGGTTGAATTATTGTAAATAATAAAAAATTACGACGATATTATATTATATTATAATATAATATATATAATTACAAAATAATGTATATTTATTATTATATTTAATATAATACAATAAAACTATTATTA